GATGTGTGGTACCCCCGTCCTCCTGCACCCGGCGCAGGTGATGCTCCATCCCCAAGGCATGAGGTGTGAGGGGGGGGTCTCACATGTACTCAGAGACGGGTGCGTTGGAGATGGTCTGCGCTGGCGGGTGCAGGCTGCTCTGGCTGCCCAGGCTGCTGCTGTAGCTGCAGAAGCTGCGGAGCTGCCCCCGTGCCGGGTTGTGGCTGGCGATGCGCCGTGCCTGTGGGTTGAAGGGGTCCTCATCGTCCATGTCATCATAGTCCCGGTCCCTGCAGAGACAAGGCACCAATGATCATCCCCCCCAAGCCCCGGCCCCAAAGGCCGCTCCCCCCGTTCCCAGCTCATGTCCCCAGTGAAGGCAGGGCTGCAGCAGACCCACCGTCCAGTGAAGAGCTTCCATGCTCGTGGTGTGGCGCAGATGATGGTGGAGAAGGAGGCAGCCACCAGCAAGGAGAAGAGAACCAGGTAGAGCAAACCCTCCACCCCATCGTAGCAGATGCCAATGAGGGCATCCAGGTAGTCCTGCAGCAGGAGATGGGGTAGGGCAGCGCGGGTGGCAATAGGAGGACCCCAGGAGATGTGCGTCCCCAACCTGATCCCCCCCAACTCACCTTGTGCAGCCCCCGGCAGTCCAGCATGGCCGTGAGCTGGTGCAGGCTGGTCTCTGAGGAGTTGAGGAGCTGCTGCACCCCCAGAAGGTCTTTCTGTGGGAGAAGGGGGGGTCAGGACAGCAGGATGGGGAGCACGGGGGAAGAGATGGGGCTCCCCACAGCCTGTACCTCGGCTGTTGGGAATGCGGGCAGCGCAAACTGGATCAGGCCCTGGATCTGGATCTGCATCGTAGTGAGCGAGCGCTGGAAGACGGTGAGAGCCTGCGAGGAGGAGCAGGAGCAGTCACAGAGCTGGTCACCCCATGGGACACCCCTGCCGTACCAAGCGGGGTGCAAGGCTCCCCCATACCTGCTGGAAGGGGTTGCTCAGGCCCTGCTCACAGTACAGGTAATAGTGAACCACCTCTGCAAAGCAAATGGGAGATGTTGGTACGAGCATCCCAGCATCGAAGGGCACCGGCTCCCCAGGCAGGTTTTGGGGTATCACTGGTGCCCCCCCCCAGCACATCTCCACCCCACAACCAGCTCTCACCCGCACTGATGTCACTCTCTGTTTGGTTCATGATGAACTTATCTGGGGCCACGCAGAAGTCGCTGGTGCCCTGTGGGGACAAGAGGGACATCATTGGTGCTGGGCAGGATGGCGACGGGTGCCCTCAGCCCCCGGCTCTGCCCTGGCCCCACTCACCACCGCCGCTGCCGTGTCCACAGCCACAGAGGCCCAGCTGAGGATGAGGGTCAGCAGCCCACAGCACAGCATCCTGCGGGGACAGGGGTGAGATGCGGTGGGATGCGGCTCCCGGCACCGCCGAGCCCGGCACCGCCGTACTCACGTGGTGAGGAGGCATCGGGAGTGCTTGGCCAGCCCCAGGCAGGCCAGGAGGCAGACGGTGAGCACCAGCATGAAGAAGAGCAGATAAGCCAGCCATCTGGGTGCACAGGAAGGCTCCGTCACTCGTGTCCCCACCCCAGCCCCGGCCCCACCGGCGGCCCCGCTCACCGGTAATACTCGATGTAGGCGACGTGGCCGGCGAGCGCGGTGAGGTCGGTGCTGGTGCCGCGCCACACGGGCAGCCCCGTGAGCTGCAGCACGATGCTGCCCGAGAGCTGCTGCAGGAACTTGAGGGTCTGCAGGTAGTCCCCCCGCGCCGCCAGGAGCTCGTTCAGGCGCTGCAGGTGCTGCTCCAGACCCACCTGCATCTGCAGCGTGGTGTCCGCTACCTGGGGATGGATGTGGGATGGTCGGTACCACCAGGGCTTCCCAACATCCCATCCCAGGCAGTGTTCAGGGCCAGGTTGGACACAGGGGCTTGGAGCAAGCTGCTCCAGTGGCAGGGGTCCCTGCCCGTGGCAGGGGTTGGAGCTGGAGGAGCTTTAAGGTCCCTTCAACACAAACCACTCTGTGGTTCTGTGATCCCATGGGATGCTCCCTCCAGGACAGCAGCTCCGTGTCAGAGCCCTGTGCTCCAGCGGGATCCATCCTTTGGACAGCCCTGCCACGGCCCCCGCGGCCCTTCCCAGCCACAAAGGGCCCATTTTGCAGGGTGACATCACTGTCACCCTGTGATCAGCACGGCATGGCTGCCTGGGGCTCAGCCTGGGTCCCTCCAGCCGGATGCTTCCCCCTCCACAGTGCTTTAACCAAACCCAGGACGGAGGAGGGATGTGACCCCGTGGGACATGGAGGGGTTTGGATGGGGGGGGTCCCAGCCCCACAGCCCTACCAGCGAGTCGATGCCGGTCAGTGTGTGGTTGGCGTGGTCCAGGGCATACAGCAGCTGGTACACCCCATCGTTGGTCTCACTGTTCCCATAGAAGCCAATGCCGACGGCTGCACTGTGAGCAGAGAAAGGACCCCTGATTACAGGGAGGGAAACGCTCACCCCAACATGGGGCAGGGAGGATGTGGGGACACCGGCTGGACCGGGGACGCTCACTGGAGCATCCTGGTGTGGGGGAACCCCTTACCCTTGGCAGGGCAGAGCCAAAGGAGACGGGACAGGGGCAGCACTGCAGTGGGGAGGGCTCCCCACAGCTGCTTTAGCACTCGTGATGGAGTCAGAGCTGGCCCCGAGGAGGGATGTGCCGAGCACGTGCCCACACGTGCCCGATGCATGCGGTGCCCCCTCCCCACGGCAAACGCCATAAACCCAACAGCCACGAACCCATTCACCACAATTAAGCCTTTAGCATCCACAAGCAGGCTCAGTGCGGCTGCGGGAGAGGTTCAGAGCCCCGGGGGAGCTGCAGCAAGCTCTTTTGCTGCCTGCCAGCGGGCACCCCGGCCCCCCCCCGCCACGCTCTGTGGGGTGCCCGAGGCTGGGGGAGCGGGAGCCATCCCGGTGGAAGCACACCAAGATCCTTGGTGCCATTTCCCTGCTCCGCACCACGCTCCAGGCATCCACCTCGCTCCGCCCAGGGAAAAGCAGCCCCTTTGTCTCGTGGTGGAAGCGCCCACGTCCCAGCCCATCACCCCGGGTCAGGCCGGCGGATGGGGGGATCCCTCCCAGCCAGAAGCCGAGATGGGTTTGGGAAGCGCCCGGAACGCCGCCGGCTCCCCTCGCTAATTGCTGTGGTTGCAATTAAGGGCAGGAGCAGCCGGGACCCGGCAGCTGGGTCACGCTGCCGCCCGCCATCTGCTCCGGGCTGGGATTAGCGGCCCGGCCCCGTTCCCGGCTGGGATTAGCTGGGAAAAGAGGCACGGGCATGGTGGGGACAGGGACAGGGGTGGACCGCAGCCGGACCCCAGCATCGGTGGCTGCGAGGATGGAGGCAGGGATGGGCTGTGTTTAATTGCGTGGATCTAATTAAAGTAACTCGTGGCTGGGGCTGAGCACCTCGTGATGGGGACACAGCACCGGGTCCCCGTCCCCATCCTCACCAGCAGATGAGCCCCGCGGTGACGGCCATCCAGGTGACACAGCAGGAGTGGGGCCGCTTGGTCTCAGGGTCCTGGTCCCTCTTGCAGCAGCACAGGCAGATCAGGTACACAGTGAGGAAGAGGAGGTTGAGGCCGAGGCAGACGGCGGACACCAAGCCCAGGAAAAGCAGCGACTGGGAAGGAGAAGGGGCAGTCAGCGCTCGTGTCCCTCACGTGCTGCGGGATGCGAGGGGATGCGGCCACGTCCAGAGCCCCACGGGACGGTCACACGGGGAAAGAGGAAGCGTCCCCGTCCCGGGCCATGGAGACCGGCTCTAAGGGGTGGTGGAGGCACCGGCGCTGCCTCCCCTCCGTTTCGGGGCCATGGCGGGCCAATGCCCCGGAGCAGGGGGGTGCAGCGGGGGGCCTGCAGCCTGGTACGGGACCCCACCGAGCGCCCAAAGGAGGGGTGACCCGGGAGGGGGGAAGGCTGCGGGGCCGGTACCGGCGGGTGAGGGGGGCCCCGCTGCCCGCGCGGGAAGAAGCGCGCTTTGTGCGGGGCTGGCACCGGGAGAAAGGGAAGGATTGGGGGGGTTGGGGGGGGGGGAAGCCCGGTACCGGTAGCGCTGCCCCGGAGGGCTCCGTCCCCGCGGGGTCGGTACCTGCTGGTAGTCGGCGTCCCGCGGGCGGAAGGCGGCGGGCACGCTCTGCAGGCGCAGCCCGCGGTGGGGCAGGCGGTGCAGCCACGACACCCACCACGGAGCCACGTACCCGGCGCGGGCGGGCGGCATCGCGGGGCCGGGGCCGCGCTGGGGCCGCCGCCGATGGCGGGGGCGGAGGAACCGAACCGCGCGGCTCCGCCCGGGCCACGCCCCCGCCCAGGGCCACGCCCCTCGCCCCGCCCATCCCGGATCGTGCTCCGCGCAGGGAGCAGCGCGCCCCGACCCTCCTATAGGGACACTGAGCGTGGGTCGCCCCATAGGGGCCTCGCATCCCGTCCCTGCCCTTCTACAGGGGCACCGTACCCATCCCTCCTGCTACAGGGGCCTCACACCTTGTCAGTACCCTTCCCTTGGGGCGCTGCACCCCACCAGCCCTCTGTTATGAGGGAACCACCCCATGCCCCATCCCCTCCCTGCTACATGGACATCACACCTCGCCCCCATCCTTCTATAAGAGGAACCACATCCCCTCCCCTCCCTGCTACAGCAGCCTCTCCTTGTCACCACCCTGCTATAGGGACACTGCACCCCACCACTGCCTTTTTATAGGGGCACCACACTCATCCTTTCTATAGGAGCCTCACACTTTGTCACTGCCCTGCTATATAGACAGGGCACACTCCCATCCCGTCCCTGCTATAATGACATGGCCTCCTGTCCAGGAACTATAGGGTAGTCCCATATTGTCCCAGATCCACCATATCCCCCAGGAAGCACCCCTCAGCATTCCTGAGCTCGGGGCTCAGGTCACCACATGAACCCTTGCAGGATCAGCCAGGGCCACATGGACAGACACACACACCCCAGTGGGGAACAGTCACGTTTATTTATTGTAACAAACAACAAAACTCTCATTTATTGGCTCATTTCAGCTCCTTGACAGCCAAACCTGCAGAGGAGAGAAAGTGCTGGTGAGAAACAGCTCCATTCACACAGAACCCCACACCCTGGAGCAGGGACACATCCCGGGATGGGGCTCCCGCTGTGAGGCAGCTCCCCTGGGACACCAGGAGATACCTGGGGGCAGCGACTGCTTCAGCTTCTCGGCCTTCTCCTTGTCCGTGATGACCAGGGTGTAGAGGTACCGGCTGCAGCGCACCTTGAACTTCACATTGTCCTTGTTCTTCTTGATCTTGACGGCTGCAGGGTCAGGAACAGCTCAGGATGGAGCCACCCCAACCCTGCCTGCACTGGAAACCCCCAAATCAAGTGGATTTTGCTGCACCAACAGCCTCTGCTGCGTGCAGGGGTTCAGCCCCATGCTCCTCAGAGCCAACAGCTGCATTTTGAGGCTGGTTTTACAACCACCAACGTGAAGAAGTGATTGTAACTCCCACTTCGACACTGCAGACCCCCAACTCCACGCTCAGCGCTCCCCAAAAGCCATTTGATCTGAGCTACTTGGCTGGAGCTGCTGGGAAATCCAAGTGGACCAGCCCAGGAATGCTTTGTGAGGGGCTGTCAGCAGCTCCATCAGAGTTTCAATGCGGAACTCTCCCTCTCACCCACACCGGTGGGTTAACAAAAGGCTTCCAGTGTGAAAGCGCCTCTTCCCTGGGACAGCTACATCCAAGTAACTGAGAGAAGAGGGAAAACTCCTCACACATGGCTAAATACTGCAGCAAGGCATTGCCAGAGCTTCAATCATCACCACCTTTGCACGTACAATGGAAGGAGACCTAAGTCCGGCCAGGATTCCCTTGTCACCGTGACAGCCCTGACACCCTGCACTGATCTGAAGGCTACAGAGCACCAGGGATGGGCTCATGTGAAATGAGCTTCCAAGCTGGGGCTGGGCTGAGCCCCGCCGGGTGCACAGCGGCAGCCACCGCTGGAGCACCCAAGTCCCGCACCCACAGCACCCCCCCGCCCAGGGTGGCCTCTCACGTTAACCCTAAGCAAAACCGCTTTAAATCCCAGTGCTCCCGAGCCAAGGGGCTCCATGGGGCCGCTCGCTCCCCCCTCACCCCCCCCACTCACACTTGGCGTCCTTCCTCCGCGCTGTCAGCAGGAAGTCTTTGATCTCCTCAATCTTGCGGGGCTGGGAAGCAGAGCACCCCCTCAGCACACACCCGACACCCCAGAGCCCCCCCCCCAACAGGGCCTGCGGGGGCTCCGCTCCCTGCAGCCACCTCCGCTCTCCGCCAGGGCCGTGGCAGCCGTAACACGGCGCGGGGGCTGCGCTGCCTCCCGCAGCACCGCAGGGGCCGGGCAGGATAGGCCCCCCCCCCCTCCCCGCTCCTCACCATGGTGCCGGCCGGGCTCGGAGCGCTCCAACCTGCGGAAGGCACAACCCAAGATGGCGTCAGTCCCACCGACCCCCATCGGCCGCCCGCCCGCCGCCCATCGGCCACCCCCGGCTCCCCCCGCGTCCCCTCCGCTCCCCGAGCCCGCCGCGGGGCCGCCCGCTCCCGCACAGCCGCGGATGGCGGCGGATCCCGCACCGCCCCCCCCCCCCCCCCCGGCGCCATACTCACAGCTCCCTCCTCAGCGCACAAACCGGAAGTGAGCTCCCGCTTCCGCATACAAGCCTTAAACCCGCCCCCCCTGGAGCGTCGCTACGGCTCGGGCCGAGGGACAAAACAGAGCAGAGTCGCGATCGCGGTGGAGGGCGCGATGCCTGTGATGAGTTGGCAGGGTCTCAGCCCCTGAGACCCGGGGGGGTGTGCGGGGAGCACCGGGCACCTCTGGCCTCCCGCATCCCTCCGTGCACGGCTGGAAGGGCGGGATGCTCCATCCTCCTGAGCCCCGGCATCTCTCCGGGAGGATCCAGGAGATGGGGTCCTGCGCCGGGGCTCCCCCCCCCCCCCCCCACTCCGAGAGATGCTGGGGCTCGATGTCTCTGGATGCTGTGGCTCTATGTTTCGGGAAGGGGTGTAATGGAGCGGTTTTGCCACAAGAGAGAGCTTCAGCCACACTCTAAACCCCTCAAACGACCCTAAGCCGCTGCAATAACCATCGGGGGATCGGGGGGAAGCGAGGGTCCCCATCCTGTCCCTGTATGCCATCAATCCCTCTTATCCTGTCCCCATCCCACTGAGCCCTATGTGTGGAAGGAGCAGTATATGGGGATGCTGGGGTGCTCCTCGGTGATGCTGGTTTCTGGGTGCTTGAATGGGGTCATGGGGTGCAATGGGGAGGCTGCCCATCAGTGCATCCAGGGACCCTCTATTCATGAAGGGACTCCCCAGCTTGGGTCATCACTTGGAGGGGCTGGACCCCAAGGGTGATGGGAGCAGTGGTGTGGCTTGTCCTGGTCCAGCATTCCTAGGGTGCAAAGAGGGAATTAATGGAGCTGGTGGCTCTTGTGTGGCTGCTGTGGCACCCTGACCCAGCACCCTGTTCCCGTCACTGCATCCCATAGTGCTCCCAGTATCCCACTAAGACCTCTGGGGCATAGTTGGGGTGGGATCTGTGGGGCTCACACAGAGGAGTGAAGCGTTTCAGGTGGGTTGCTTCCCTTTGCCACCCGATGAGTATTTAATTGTGTGATTTACTTATCTCATTGGAAGGGGCTGATCTACCCGGCTGCCTTTTAATCGCTTCAAAACTGGAGCAGTTTTTCATGTTTCAAGGCATGCTGAATCGTACAATTAAACCACCACCAGCGTAAATCAACAGCCGAGAGGGATGCCGGCTCCTTGGTGTCATAATAAAACCAAACCGGCATGAAAAGTGCCCATTCCAGCACCGATGCTGAATGCTGATGCTTTTAACCCAAAGTACAGCGTGGCCTCACTATGGGGAGTGGTGGTCACATCCCACATCCCTGTCGTCCCCCTCCCCAGCAGCATCCTTCCTGCTCCTCCCTGGAGCGGATTCCCTTTCACTCTATTACCATTATTTAAAAGCTGGGTGGGTGTCTAAATCAACACCAAATAATTCATGGGAGTCATTCCCTCCTCAAAGATGGGATCATTTTACAACCAGCTTTAAATTAAAGCAAAAAGCAAATAAACCCAGCCCCAAACCCCATCGCGCTCCGAAACTGCAGCTCTTAAAACACATCAAACGCGTTTCCCGCCTGCCTCCCACCGGCCCGGCTCCGCTGCCTGATGAAATTCAATTAGTAGCCTTAATTCACCCACCCAACACCAGCTCTAGGTATTAAACCCCTTCTCTGGTTGTGCTTGGGAAGCGCAGGGCCAGGATTGGGGTTGTGTTTAACCCTAGGGTTTGGGGGCATCGTAAACCCCTTACCCCAGTTGGGAAAGGAGCCTTCCTCCTCCTCCTCTTCCTCCGTGAGGATGCTCCAGTGAGGTGGATGTTGATGGAGACACATGGAAGAGAACCAGGATGCTGAATCCCCACACCTCACCAGGACCCCTGGGTGCTCCCCACGGAGCCTGTTGGGGTGATATCCCCCCCCCCCAGGGCCCTTGGGGGACAATGGGGACCGGGTCGGCACGGGTGGCATCCCCCTGGCAGCTCGCACAGGGGTTTATTTGCAGCAGCGGTTGGCAGCAGGCGATTAGATGCTATCACCTTATCAGCAGCAGCAGCTCCGGGGGCTGCGGGAGGCGGGAGACAACAGGGGATGGATGAAAAACCAGCAAGGGATGAAAATCCGATGTGGGTTTTCTCTCTTCCCCTCTCAAAGGCCTGATCTGGCGTTAAAGGAGCGCTGAGGATAATCTGCTGCTGGCTCCATCCCTTGGCACTGCTTGCTGTGACCTCCCTGGGGTACAGTTGGGGCTCACGGCGATGTGTGCACAACCAGGGCAGCCCTGGTTTCATTGTGCACGATGACACCGTCCTTCAGTGCTTTTCCTGGTACAGGGAGGGGAACCACAGCTTGGGTGTGCATCAGGGTGAGCTCTGAGCTATGGGACCAGTCCCAGCATACCAAGTGTTTCTTGCAGGCCTGGGACAGCAAGGGGGGTGTCCCTGCAGCATCATTTGGTACCCACTGCCTGGACCCCTGGCTCCGCATCCTCACCTGCAGCGCACCTCGATGGAATCAGAGCATTCCACATCCTCTGGCATGTGCTGGAGACCTGGGAGCACCCTGCCCACCCAGAGTGCTGGTGCGTTCCTTCTCTTGCTCTTCCCTGGGGACACGACTGCCCCTGCTCATGGTCCCCATGCAGCACCCCCAGATGTTTGCTCCTAACGATGCTGCAGCGCTGCTGCTGTCTCCTTCACCCATGGTTTCTGCATCCCACAGCTTAGAGCATGGGAGGCATTGCCCATCCTCGGGGACACGATGTGGTACTTGCGTGACAGGAGACGTGTCCACAGAGGTACATAGTGTCCCTGGGGGGCTGCCTGCAGGAGTCCCACTGTGGCTGCACCCCACAGCTGCGGAACCCCAATTTGGGCTGTGGTGTGTGTGTCCAAGAGGTGGAAAGCTGAGATGAGCATGCCCGAGATGTGCATGGTTGAGATGTGCACATCTGGGATGTTCAAGGCTGGGATGTGCATGTCTGGGATGCGCGCAGCTGAGACGAACATGCCTGAGACGCGGAACATGGACCCATGCGCTCACCCCATGTGCTGTGTGCCCGAGCAGTGCATGTCCAATCCATGTGGACACGCGTGTGCTGCAGACATGCACACAGAGCAGCACGTCCCCAAGCTGCACAGCCCCCAGCCCCAGCCCCTATCCATCCCTTGTTCTCCTTGTGGAACTGGGTTTTGGTCCTCCCAACCCTGGGAAGGTGACGTGGCCGAGCTGGGAGCTGGCACAGTAAACGGCAGACACGGAAGGACCCATTCCAGGGGAGATTCCCCCATCCAGGGAACAAACTGCAGCAGAAATGGATTTTTCCCTCGTTTCCTGGAGTTTCTCCCTCTGGCGCAGAGGAGCGAGGCCCTGCATGGCGATTGCCTGCTCCGAGCGCGGCCGCAGCCGCTGGATGCGTTCATCATTAACAGGGACAGGAACCTCTTCCCAATCACTCTGTATTTTCTTTCTCCCCCCCCGCTTCACTCTCATTCTTCCCTTCTCCAATCTTAAAGCAAAGGGCCCTGGCAGCGCTGCTGCCGAACACCGATCAATTCACTCCTAATGGCAGCTCCCATGCCCTCGCATTCATCAGCACGGCTCTTAAAGAGCATCCGAAGCTCCACGGGCGACTTGGGGCGGGGGGGGGGGAAGAAAAAAAGCCCATTTGGAGGCGAGATGATATTTTCTCCATCTCTTCCCCTTTTGTTCTTTATCTGCTGAGGACAAAGGCAGGCGCAGGCTCGAGGTGGGGACAGGCAGCGGAGGGAGATGAAATCCCAAGAAACAAAGGAGCTTTTCTTGGAAATACCCTGGAAAGGGAGGAGGAAATTTGGCGATGGGGGACACAGAGGGCTGGGGGTGGTTGGGGGGGGGGGGGTGTCAGTTCATGGGGGGCATCGCAGCGTGGCCGGAGCAGGGAAAAGGGGGATAAACACAGTGGGAAGTTTCCCGCAGGCATCGGGAGCCGTTTGAAGCCCTTGAATGTATGTTCCTTTTAATTAGGGCTGGGCCGGATCCTGCCCCATGGAGCAGTCACACGGGAGCCAGGATCAGCATCTCCTGGGGAGCGGCTCTTGCACTGCTGCTGGTTTGGGGGTTTAATGTGCTGGGGTGATGCTGCAGCAAAGCCATGTAATATCCAAGTCCCAGCCGCTCAGCATCCCTCCTCGGATGGGAACAATACCAAGGGGGTAAAAACCAGCCAAGGGGTGCAGAGCAGGAGGTGCTGGGGTCCCCATCCGCAGCCCATGCCCACCAGCATGGGGGGAGCTGGTGATGCTGGTGGTGGTCCTGCTGTTGGGGTACCTGTGTGATGGCATTTATCTGGTGCAGTGGGCACTGATGTTCTCCATGGCACATGCCCCACAGCACATCCTCCATGGCGCATGGTCCATGGCCAGGGATGCTGGTGCGGGCAGAACCAGGTGCTCTGCAGAGGAAGGAGCAGCGGCTGCTTCTCCAGAGGGGCTTTTCTGCACCTCAGGGGAGATGTGCAGAGAAAAGGGAGAGAAGTTCATCTTAATTGTATGTAATTACAGCACAGTCTACCCGTTCAGCCCCCCTGGAGCCAGCCTCACCCCCCCCGGGACCCTCTCCCAGCTGGGCTCTGGGCTCCTCATCTGAAGTTAGGAGAGATAAAAAGGATCCGAGTCCCATTCCCCAGCCCCACCGCTCCCCTGGGCATCAGCTTGTGATGGTCTGAGCACGGGGAATGTTGTGGAGTGGGGTTTTGAGGTGAGGACCCCCACCCCATGAATGGGCACCCCCCTGCATGGGGCAGGACATGCCCAGATCCCTGCTGGCTGCCTCATCCTGCACCATCCCATGGGCCCTGGTGCCTCATCTCGCCTGGTACCCGAGCAGGGAGAGCTGAGGTGATGCCATGATGCTACCCCCTGCTTGCCTCCATCCACCTCCAAAGGGGATTTGCTGTTTAGGAGCACAGGGCAGTGCGTGAGCTGCTGTATCACATCCTTGTGTCACTGGCCTATGTCCCCCTGCACTTGTCTTCATGGAGAGCCACTAATAGTGACCCAGCCTGACACAGCAGAGCCAGGACCATCACCCCATGGGTGCTGCAAGGAG